TGCACAAGAACTATTTATTTGAAAAACAAACTTATATCAAGGTGAGACATCCAACAAAGATTCAAACCAAAGTGGGAATTAAATATAGGGTGTATACTTTCTTGTGGTTTGGAGACTTTCTTGCTTTCACATTTATTTTCTTTACAGAAATAGTCCCTAGACGTTTTTGCATATTGCCGGTACCTTTATGATGTTATCTCTTCCAATGCAGGACTATGGACATGAATGGGGAGTTTGAAACCAAGTCCTGGGTAGAAAGGATCATCATTATAGGCCTGCCAAAGGCTCCAACTACAGTCACTATAGATGGCGTCAGAGATATCAGTAAGTGGACTAATTTTTTAATGTTAAGTCGATGGAAGCGCTAGGTAAGAGGAAACTGGAAAACTTTCACTAGTTTCAGTGCAACAAGGCTTCGATGATCTACATGTATTTGACCATGGACCATCATTGAACAATGTGTTTCCTGTGATAAAATTCTAGTCCTCTAGTCCTGAACTGACCCAAATGGATTGGTATGACTTGGTTCATACAGTCATATTTTACACAGACCAAGCTGTTAGACATGTATTACACTCTTTATTCAAAAGAATTCATATTACATATATCTGGTTTCCTTTGTGCAGTGATAGACAAGAAGAACCTGGAGTTCCGCTACACGCCCGACACGCAGACTCTGGTGATCAGGAAACCAGCCGTCAACGTGGCACAGAACTGGAGCATCACCCTACAATAACCTGCCATGCTGCTACATGGGGGGGACAGGGGAGAGGGGCTCAGATCTTACTTATGTGGCAATAGATAATGACAAGTCCATATAGTTAACCCAGTTCTTGGCAGGCGTGGCTGGGATGAGATACCTTGTGTACTGAAGATGGACTTCTCAACTCAATATAATAAGGGGTCTTTAAACTTTTGTTTCTTGTTCAGTGTTCAGATTATACTCGTGCTGTCTACGAGAGATTGGTAGCATAACTAAATCTACCCATATAATGATTCTATTAAAAGTCTGAAACAGCAAATATCGGGCCTTGTCCATGACCAAGGCTACTCCTAGTATACTTAAGGTCCAAAAATGTCAGTATTCATGAAAACAATGTATTGAAGTGCCAGGTCCTTTGGTACTGGGATATTCCAATGATATAAAGTTTTTAAGAATTATTCATTCCAGAAAAAGCCTATGCCAAGTTATCTGCATTCAAATGTTAGTACATTAGCATTTGGTTGAACAAAGTAGAAGAACTATTTGGCACGCAGTGACACTATTATCACTAGCTGATTATTTGCTCAAAGTTGAGAATATAATGAAAAGACTTAACATCGTCTTTGGAAAATGAACTGTACTAGATGTATATTGCTTACTAGTACTAGTATTCTTGACAAATTTCTTTATTAGTATGATCAATGAATGTAAGATTAGCTTATCAATGGGTGTACAGAGTTGTATATGATTACTACTGGTGAATAGTTTTGGAAGTACATTAGGTAGGAACATTATCACACTTGTGTTTGTATTTCATGAAATTTGTTTATTAGGATTTGCCTTACTCTGCATTCACAGAGGTGTATTAGTATTACTCCATTTTGTATGGATGGAAATAATGTACAGTGTTAGGACAGATCCTCCATCAAAAGTAAAGTTTTTCACATAGATATGAAAGCAAAAAACACTGAATAGATAGCACAACAGTATAATGCATGTGTCATGGTATAGTAGTCTGAAGGTAAAACATTTTTATTGATTTGTGGCCTCAATGCAGTAAGTGTCAATGTATGTTACACATGCACTAAGCATGCATGATCTCTCATTGACTTGTTATGTGACATGCAGAGTATGGAACGATTAAAGCCAAACTTTGATAGATAATTACCAGTATCAAACTTTTGTCTGCAAGCCTGTTGTACCAATGTTTCCACATGACAGGGTAATAGTAAGCTTTGCTGCTTTGCCTCTTGTACAACATACATTGCATCACATACACAACACTGCCAATACACCAAAGTATTGTGTTGTACATGTGCTCAATCTTAGTACTGACAGTATATGAATATTTTTTTTGTGTGTGCAAGCAACAAAGGTTCTACTGGCATTTCTGTGGTCATACAATTTTGCCTTTGCAACTACAGTTTGACCTTTGTTATCAGCAATGATGTGTTATTTCTTTCGTGTCTAAAAGACAAATACATTTATCTCTGTTGTTGATAGTGGGAATTCCTTTGTCGCTCTGTATCTTTATTGCATTTTAGTGGCTGGAAAAGATATCAAGTTTATAATGTGTGAAAAATCTTATGGAGGAAATGGCATCTTTCTCTAGGACACCAGGAAACATCAACATTGTGATTCATAGGAATAAAATTGATAAATTTCTGTTTTACTTGAGAGGTGCTACTGGTAGTAAGCAGGTGATAAAACAACAACTGGTGTGTTTGCTCTTATGGTAGATAGTAACAAAAAAAAACCTCAGCACATTGCATGCTGCCCACATCTGTTACAACAAACTAACACTATGTGCAAAAAATATTAGAAAAGTGTCCCCTTCACTGTGTGGAGAAGCAAACACACATATTTTATCAATTCAAATTACAGGGAAACTGGCAAGTGTTTGATATGAAACAACAGTCCAATGTCCTTTTGTTTGTCAAGTAAACAAACTGGACAATAACTAATGCTTACTAACGTACAGTAAGTCACAACGTCAACACGTAGCTGAAGAGCCACATGTGTTTGCAAACACATTTGAGTTCAAATCTTACACAAACCCTGCACGTGTTTTTTGGTAATGACGTTCTGCATCTTTGGCAGTGTGACTAACATTATCTGTATAGTGTTGACTTCAAACTAACTTTTATAAGATAGCTTCTCATTGCCTGCATACACTGTCATGACTGTAGATCGTGTCCCAGGTGTTTTTAGTGTTTGTTGTAAGGAGGTAACGTTACTGTGTGCATAGCTCAAATGTAACCAGGCTTGTACATGGCGGGTACAACAAGGAATGTCAGAGAGAACTGCTTCAAAAGGGCAACTATTGAGATATTTGTGAACCTGATCAGGATGTTGTCCAGACTAAAAGTTGGTGACATGCTTAATTAGGAAATGTTAAATCACTGGAAAGCAGAAGTTCTTTGTTGAGCAGTGTACTACCTCAAAACTAGTTTCACAAAAGATTGGAGTCAACGTTATGTGAAGTATGTGGCAGTTCCTGTTCAATGGCTCTGTTTAGAGCTTTTGTGGCAAGGGAAGCCAAAACATAGCTTTGCATCCAGTAAAGACATGGTATGCAAGTACAAAGGTTTACTTTACTAAGCTTCCACAATGACACTACTGTTAAACACATCAAGGAGTGGCAAAACACACTCAGTGATGTGTTGAAAGTCACACCATCATTTCAAGGTTCTTGTACTAAATTTACACCCACAGTTTGATAATTAGTATGTCAAAAAGGGAGGTAACGTTACAAAATTCTCTTTGAGAAATGCACTTGACTTTGAGTTTAGTTTGGACATACTGTCAGCATGTTAAATTATGAGTGTGCTTTGTTTTGTTTATTTATTAATTTTTTTTAAATAAATTTCCCTATCTAGATGTGGTGTTATAATCTGGAAATTTTCTAAACTGGCTCTAAAGCGGACAGTTTCATTCATTTCAAGACCTTGGGTCAAAACTAAACCTGCCCAGATCTTTAATTGATGAATTGAGGAAATGGGTGTTTCATTTTACAAACACTCCTAGAAAACGCGGCTCCTCCCTTGTTTGCACTGGCTCCATGCCTGAGTATTGCTACAACCATGGTGGACACACCTTCCCACCCACCTGTTACATATATCAGATATCATGTAAACAAACCATTATCTGGGGGAACGTACCACGTTCTGGCGGGGGCGGGGTGACTTGTAAAAATCGCGTCAGTGGATTAACAGAAACTAATCACTGGTGTATCTTTTATGACTTTTCATACTACAAATCTTAATAAAATATGGAATAACATGTAGACTGTTCGGTTTAGTGTGATGTTGTATCTTATACTTTCTCGGCAGGTGTTCAGGGATCCCTAACAATTAGTTGACTCGTCCACTTCCGTTTCCGCCATGCTGTAGCGGGACCGCTATCAGGTGTGTGTGTGTACCTTAGTCCCCGTATAGAGTAGTTGCCCCCCGTCCGTCCATGTCGCCCTTTAGCGGTTCGGGTACACTTTTCCTTCGCGCTAGATAACGTATTAAGTCCCTGGATGTCGTACAAACACCGGAACAACTTCAACGACATCTGTGTCCGTCGGCCGCCCGTGGTGAGGAGACCTTTGGGGCAGAAGCCGCGCGCGAACGCCCCGTTCTGGGAGAGACAGGACTACAACACCATCAAGGCGGAATGTCTGCGGAAAGGAGAACTTTGGGTGGATCCAGAATTCCCCCCGGTTGCCAGCTCCCTTTTCCCGTCCCACGCCGGCAAATTGCCAAGAAATATCGTCTGGAAAAGACCATGGGTACGTTTTGGGGAAATTCACATTCTAAAGAAAATCTATGGCAAAAATAATATTTTTAAAATAATATTTTTTATACAAAGATTCATACAGTGTAAAAGATACAGTGTAGCGTTAATATGTTGTCTAAAGAAGACTTCATACTTAGGCAATAGGCTTTCTTCTGTATTGCCCTATTTAACACTCCTTAATTTTACCACAGTTGTACCTAATCTCCAAGCAGATCCTAGGGTGGCATAAGACAGTATCAAATTGGCCAGGCAGTATCCATTGGCCAGAGAGGGTCCAACGTGCCACCCATGGCATAGGACCCTCTCTGGCCAATACTTTGGATACAATGGATACTGTCTGGTCAATTTGACAATTGTCTTATGCCACCCTAGGATCTGCTTGGAGATTAAGTTGTACCCTCACACTTCGAAGTCAAAGGCTTTCATTGTGCAAATTCTGAGATGACCCCTTTATGTGCCCTTGCTAGAAAGAGCCAGATTAGCACTGATTACTTATTGTCATATATAAACTCACGAGGGACTCATCTTGTCACGATCGTGCCTCACCTTTATTGATCTTTTGACATACCAGTAATTATGCATTACATTTATTGATCTTACGATAGATCATAATTTGTAACGTTAGCACCATAAGTGCTGACAAGGCCTGTCCTGACATCACTGTCATTATAATAAAGCAAGGAGGTTACCTCCTTGACTTTAATAAAGTAACAGTTACTTTTAAGTAAGTCTTTCACCATCATACCGACCTCATTATCATAATTGTTTTATGTTAAAATTATATGAGTTGCATCTAATCACATGTATGTTTCTCTCTACTAACATTACCTAAAGGCCAAAAGTCATGAAAATGGATAAATGGATTCTGCTGTAATGTCGGGAATAAACAGACCTCTGCAGTTCCAGATAAATATGCCAGGAGGCAATCCTTCCACATACAGTAGTTATGCTGTTCAACTAAAACATAGTTATACAGTTGTATCTTGGATGCATCCAAATTGAGTCTTCCAACAATTTAATGCATTGGTGATCACTGAAATGCCACAGAACATTTAAATCAACCTATAAACGCAATGGCATTTATACAACTTCAGTACATATAGCTCAGTTTAGATTGGTCCATCCTCCCATGGCAGGGGCAGCGGCTCCGAATTAATTCTCCACCCCTTACCCCTGCCGTATAACGTGGCATCTTCTACTCTACGACCCCAGGAATATTAATATTCATGAGCTTGCCTTATTTGGCATGACCCCATTTCTGACTTGGGCGGCGAAGGGACGTCACCCTCCCCGCCGGCGACTCCGCCGCCGCCCGGTGACGAGCCCGTTAACGCGTTGGGGAGGCCGTGCGGGGCAAAGTCACCGAGTTAACACCTTCCC